TCACCAAACTCAGCACGCCAAGCGTCGTCGAGGCGGGAGAAGCAGCGGTGCTGAGTGTGGAGCCGCCCCCAAGTCTGACCAGCACGGTCACCCGTGCGAATGACATACGGGCAACTACCCCCAGACGACCCACGCAGAAACCACTCACGAAGCTGCTGGGGAGACAGGGTCTCGCTCCGACGCTGCTTCTGCTGACGCTGGCCACCCCCAGAACCGACACGCCGAGCTCCAGTCCCACCGCCACCAGTCCCACCGCCTCTGCTGCCGCCACTCCCACCGCTGCCTCCACCACCGCCACCAGAGCCCCCACTCCCGCCACCACTCCCACCGCCGCCACCACTCCCACCGCCGCCACCACTCCCACCGCCGCCACCACCTCCACTGCTGCCCCCTCCGCCACTCCCGCTGCCACCTCCACCACCGCCGCTGCCACCACCACCACCCCGGCCACCCTTGCCCTTGCTGCTACGGCGCTTCGCACTAGCAGAAGCAGCCTCGACGTCCTCAGGATGAGAGACGTCTGCAGCAGCAGCAGAGGCGTAGGAGGGGGCAAGGGGGGAGGGGGAACACCCCTTAAAGAAGGGCGGGCACGGAGTGCCACGAGCAGCACCCACAGCAACTGCACTAGTCTCAGCTGCGAGGAGATGCTGCTCGAGGAGGTCAACAGTGAGGGAGGTGGGGTCAAGAGAGAGGAAGTGGTCCCTGACAGAGCGAAGAGAGTCAGGGAGGCGGGTGACTATAAAGTAGAGAGTGATGTACATCGGGGGCGGGTTCCTGTCAAGGAACTCAGCAGGAACGGCAGCGCGGTAGCGAGCGTCACTAGTGCGAAGGTGGGAAACCAGGTCCTCGAGTGTGGCAAAGGCGGACAGCTCGGGGAACAGGTAGGGCAGAAGGAGGCGGCCTAGAGCAGCAGTGGCAGGGGAGGATAGCGAGCGACTACAGCGTCATACAGTGCCTGTGCTGTCCAAAGTGAGCGCACTTAGCTAATGGCAGGTGGTTGCGGATGGCTAAATGAGCAGCAGCATCTTGAGTAAGCCCCTGTGAGCGAGTCGAACTGTCGGCTGTGGCGGGAGGGGCGGTAGCGGCTCTTGACGCTAGGTCAAAAAGCGAGACACTGTCCTTAGAATCGCTCAGGAGGTACAGCTGCAGGTCGTCTAGCCACGTGTCAAACTGAACCGGTCTGCCCTTATGGTCAAACGCGAGGACACGAAGCGAAGCCATAGCTGTGTAGTACGAAGGAGCAGCAGTAGCAGCTGTAGCAGGAGCAGCAGGGAAAGTAGACCGGGCGCTGGCTAGGTACTGGGCTGGGCGTGGGCTAGGTACGGGGCCGAGCGCAAGCTAGGTACGGGGCCGGGCGCGGGCTAGGTACGGGGCCAGGCGCGGGCTAGGTATGGGGCCGAGCGCGGGCTAGGTACGGGTCCGAGCGCGGGCTAGGTACGGGGCCGGGCGCGGGCTAGGTACGGGGCTGGGCCGGGCTAGGTACCATTCATCCCCTTCATCGCTCCACTCGTCAGCTTCGTTCGCGTTTCCATCGTCGGACTCGCTCGAGTCTGACTTAGCAGGTACTGCCTCCTCATCGGCCTCCTCTGCTTCAGCGGCCAGCACGGCCTCCTCCTCCATCTCGACGGTCACATCGGGAGGGGTGACCACGGGGGCCGGGTAGAACGGGTTGGGGACCAGTTCATCCTGCTCCTCCTCCATCACGTCTTCCAGCACCTCCACCTCGCCGGAATCCCGCATGTGCGCCAAGATCAGATGATCCTGGCTCCCGTCCTCTGCGTTGGAGATGCCGCAGGTGAGGAATGCTTTCCTCACCATCTCCTCGGGAACGTCGGCCCACGCCTCGTCAATCCACTTCAGGACGAGTTCGGCCGGCGGTTTCTTCAGGTTGCCTGCAGGTTGGGGCCAAGGGTAAGGGATTGGAGGGTGTATGGTTGTGTATGGTTGGTACATCGACAACAAGAGGGAATGGTTTCATACAAGGGCTCACCTGCGGGAGTTGTGCTTCTGATCCCGTCCTCCTCGAACCAGGTGCCGTAGCGGTGTCGGACGCCCGCCTTGAAGGCACGGTTGATTGACACACCAAGCGGTTGCACAAGCGGTGTGCAACCGCCTAGGATCACCGCGCGTGTCAGCCTGAAGAGATGCATAGTCTGGCCGACGGCCTCGGTGAGATGTCCTCGATATGAGTCCAGGACGAGGAGGACATCCTTCCGGCTGCAGCCCTCGTCCCGCAGGGGCCGCATGAAGGGGACGAGGACTTGGGTAGTCCAGTCATGGACAAGGTTCTCGTCCATCCATCCCCGTAATTGCGCACGGATAACAACGCCTACACACCGCATGATGCACATCATTCGCATGTACAAGGGTACGAGTAACATGCGTAACGGCAATAATGACTCACCTCGCGGAACTTTGACCTTCGGGATTGTCTTGCGCTTGAACACCACATACGGTGGCAACTTCAAGCCGCTCGCCGTCACCGCCAGCATAACGGTGAGGCGCTCCTTCTCGTAACCCGCGGTACGGACGTGCACGGTGCGCGCCCCCTTCATCTCCAATGTGCGTTCCTGCGGCATCTCCAGGAAGAGCGGTGTCTGATCGGCGTTAACGATCAGACTGGTGGGGTAGGAATTCAGGACTTGCATCTGCCGAACAAACTCCCAGAAGGATTCCACCTTGGCCTTCAAATCTGCAAGGAGAGAGAACACAGAAATTTTTAGTCGCGGGACAACATTGAATTCACACACAACAGGGAAATATGACTCACTGTCAGCCAGCTTTTGCCCCATCTTTGTCTTGACACGCTTTGCCAAGGACCACCGCACGCGGAAACGGAAACTCCAACGGTTAGACCCGCGCCAATCGGCCCGAGGGTGTCGGTGCTTCATGTACTGCCGCGACCACTTCTGAAGCATGCTCACAGAGACGGCCAGACCCTTGGCACGGTGCGCCAAAAACTGACGGTAGACGGCCCGCTCCATGAAAGGCCACTTGGCCTTGCGGCCTGCGCCAACGAGGCGACGACGACACGCCGCTGAAACAAGGAGTCGCTCCTTCAATTTCCGCCATTCGCGAATCTGCTTCGGTTGCACGTTAGCTAGCCGCGCCAACCCCCGGATGCTGAGATCGGGTTGCGTGTCTAGCATATCCAGCCAGTACAGCTTCTCCCTCGCCGTGTACGCATGCCGCGCCTTCTTCGTCATACGGTGGCGAGGCGAGGCGGGGGGCACTGCATCCTGTACCTTCTTCTTGCCTTGCGGACGTGACGACTGCGGAAATACGGGGACACGGACTGTGGGAAGGGGGGCCCGTGGGGTACGGCTGCTCTGAGAAGTCTCACTCGATGACGGTATTGGTGTGGGCAGCACAGGACGCGGCGTAATCCTAACACGAGCAGGTTGACAGCAGGTTGTTGCACGAGGGCGACGGGATTCTGACGTGCCTGAATCGGACGTTGACACTATGCTGACACCCTGTTTCAGCCTAATGCTATGCCCGGCATTCTTCGCGCTATGAATTTAATATGCCGTGCTAGTCCCGCTATGCTAGACCCTGCCGAGCTGCGCTCCCCATTGCACAGAGGTGGGTCCGTTCCCTGGCGGTGTCAAATTCGCTTGTGTACGAGACGTGATAGAGATAGCGCGACTCTGTGCTGAGAGCCTCACGTGCCATGCAAGGGATGAGACGTCCGAGGCGGTCTGACACAAAGCATTGGACGTGGTACACGTTGGTCGGCCCCCAATCTGTAATGCTGGTTACCATTGAATGTGGGCCAATGAGCATGACGCATTCAGATGCTTCATGGATTGTGCCCGGTTTCTCAGCTCAAGACATTCGCGGGGTGTTTCCTCGTTAAAAAAACACAAATATGCATTAGAACACCCTTGCATTTCATTATATTTTAAAAAACATAGCACTTATAATAAGACCCGGGTCTTATCGAATTTTTAGTCTATAATAAGAACCCGGCGACATTGGCGAACGCGGTAACCAGCTAAAGTTCGACCTAAATTACGAACCTAAAACAATTTCACACACACCCTTAGAATGGGCAAATGGGCAAATGTGAAGCGAATGGGCAAGTATGAAGCGAATGGGCAAATGTGAAGCGAATGGGCAAATGTGAAGCGAATGGGCAAATGTGAAGCAAATGGGCAAATGTGAAGCGAATGGGCAAATGTGAAGCGAATGCAGCAGATGTGAAGCGAATGCAGCAGATGTGAAGCGAATGCAGCAGATGTGAAGCGAATGCAGCAGATGTGAAGCGAATGCAGCAGATGTGAAGCGAATGCAGCAGATGTGAAGCGAATGCAGCAGGCCCACAGTTAGCAAAGAGTCGGCAGCGGTCGTATTCAACCTTGGCACCTAATCTTAGGCCATGAATCGCATCCAACCAAATAAGATGGACGAGTCTATTAAAATACAAGTTGGAGAAGGGGAGGGGGAGAGAAGAGCAGAGGAGGGTGGTGGAGTGAAGGGGAGTGGAGGGAAGAGAGAGGAGGGAACAGTAACAGCGAGGGATTGGCGGAGTGGAAAACACAAAGCATAATACACATTTCACCAGGGGGTCAAGAGTGAAGGGAGGAGTGAGGGAGGGAGAAGCTAGGAGGACTGCACTCCTGCCAGCCTGAAGCCACATTGTGGCCTCCAAATCAACCCCTTCACCACCACAACAGCCACAGACCCTCCGGCAACCCCAGCGCCCCCAGAGACCCCAAGCCCACCCTAAGCCCGCCCACCCACTGCACTCCTGTCAGCCTGAAGCCACATTGTGGCCTCCAAACTCACCCCTTCGCCACCACAGCGGCCACAGCCCCCCCGGCAACCGCAGCGCCCCCAGAGCCCCCAAGCCCACCCTCCCGCGAGCCCCCTCGGTTGTGCGACAAGCTAATCCCACCGTGGCTTGGCGAGCCAGCTGGACTCTCAAGCAGCACTCCTGTCCTTCTAGCCAGCAGTCCCATTGTGCCCTCCGTAGCAGGCACACCATTATCACCCCCTCAACCTTCACCAACCCCCTCACCGCCACGACCACTGCCCCCAGGCCCCCCAGAACCTCCAAGGCCAGCCTCCCAGGAACCCCCTCGGTTATGCGACAAGCTAACCCCACCGTGACTGGGCGAGCCGCCCAGACTCTCAAACGGGCGGCTGGGGCTCTCGAGTGGGCGGCCGGGGCTGTCACGCAGGCAGCTCGGGCTCTCGCTCGGGCGGCCGGGAGATGACCGGGCGGCGGGCAACGCCCCCCGCTCCGGGCTGGTGGGCGGCAGGGACGAGGAAGCATGCAGCTTTTTGGTCAGCCAGCCCCGCAGGCCGGCTTTCTTCGTCCCCTTCTTCTTCCCCTTCTTCCCTCCACCACTGCCACTACCACTGGTGCTTCCATCGCCACGGTCCCCTCGGTCCCCCTCGATACTCTCCCCTTCCACACTCTCCCCATCGATGCTCTCTCCCTCGGTATCCTCAGCGTCGCCACCTCGCTCTGACAACGTCTCTCGCTCGCTCACTGAATCCCCGTCACCCTCCTGCTGCTGCTGCTGATTCTGATACTGCTGCTGGTACTGCTGTTGCTGGTACTGCTGCTGCTCCTGCTGCCGCAGGCTGCTGCTACTGCTCCTGTTGCTTCGAACCCCTGTACTGTTCCTGCTACCACCAGCATCACCACCAGCACCACCACCACCATCAACACTACCCTGCACACTCCCGCCCCCACTCATCCTCCCCATGGACCCTCCCACCGCTCCCAACCGTCCCGCACCGCCCACTCCCCCATTGGACCCAGCAGCAGCTCCCAGTTGCTCCTTAGTGGCTGCAGCAGCTGCAGCTCTGGCTGCTGCAGCTGCCACGAAGCTGCTCCCTACAGTACTCTCCTTTTCCCCCTTCTCCTTCCTCCTCTTCTCCTTCTCCTTCGCCTTCTCCTTATCCTTCTCCTTCTTCTCCTTGCCTTCCTTGCTTATAGCAGCTCCGATAGACTTGCTGATGCCAAACAGTAGCCCCTTACCCTTGCCCTGAACCCCACCTGACGACTGCGACTCAAGCTGCTTCTCCTCCTCCCGCCTACCACTGCCGCTGCCACTGCCACTACCACCTTCACCCAAACCAGCACCAGTGGCAGCATCGAGACCAGAATCAGCACCAGTAGTACCATCACCATCACCACCAGAAGCAGAAGCACCAGCAGAGGCACCCGCACCAGCACTAGCAGCAGCACTGCTGCCCTGGATAGAGAGATAGTAAGCCCGTTTCTCATTTCCTTGCCCATCCCTGGAATGCAGACGGCTCTGCCCACTCAGCCCACCCTGCCCACTCTGCCCAGTCAGCGCACCCTGCCCACTCAGCCAGCTCTGCATCAGCCCCACCTCCTGCTCCTCCTCCGCCCCTCGGCTACTCACAGGGGTGCTGCTGCCGCTGCTGCCAGCCCCGCTGCCAAACCCGCTGTTCATCCCACTCGCAGGGCCGCTGCGGTAGCTATGCGGGGTCCCTGCTCCGCCCGTGCTGCCCACGTGCGGCATGCCTAGATGCCGCCCTGACGCCCCTGCTGCTGCTGCTTCGGCTTTCTGGCGGGCTGCGGCTGCTGCCGCAAAGACAAGGCTGCTTCCGACATTGCTTTGTCGGCCCTTCTTCTTCTCCTCCTTGGGCTGCTGTTTGCGCTGCTGCTTCTGCACCTCCTGCTGCTGCTGTTGCTGCTGCTGGAGTTGCTGCTGCTGCTGCTGCTGCTGCTGCTGCTGCTGCTGGTGGTGATGAGGAGACGTGTTGGAGAGCGACTGGCTGTGATGGGAACTGGAGGAATGAGCGGGAGATGGAGGCTCTATGGTTCCCTTATCCCCATGCCCACCCCCATGCCCATGCTCATGCTTTTCCACACTCCCGCAGCTGATTTCGCTGCAGCTGCTACCTGCCCCTGCTGCAGCCGAACCTGCTGCCGCCGAACCTGCGGCTGCCGAAGCAGCAGCTCTGGCTCGGGCCGCAGCAGCCGCGACAAAGTCGCTTCCGACGTGACTCTCCTGCTTCTGCTTCGCATGCTTCTGCCCTGAAAACAGCCCCAGCCCACGCCCATGCTCATGCTCATGTGACAAGTGTGAGTATGCATGATCGTTTGCTTGTGCATGTGCATGTTCATGTGCAGGCGAGGCTGCATGCCCATTCTTGAACCCCCAATTACCAAGGACCCCATGCTTATGCTCATGCTCATGCTCATGCTGCGTCCGCCCTGGAGATGCATGCACACCATGCGCTGCTGATCCATGCATGGCATGCCCTGGCGATACATGCATGGCATGCCCATGCTCCCCCCCTGCTCCATGCACCTGCCCACCATGCCCCCCACCCGCATGCCCTTCTGCCTGCCCGCCACCCCCACCCGCATGCCCATGCCCACCCGCATGCCCATGCCCACCCGCATGCCCATGCCCATGCCCACCCGCATGCCCATGCCCATGCCCACCCGCATGCCCATGCCCACCCGCATGCCCATGCCCATGCCCATGCGCATTGGCATCAGCCGATCCTGCCCCCGATCCTGCCCCCTCACTATGAGCTCCGGCTGCCGAAGCAGCAGCTCTGGCTCGGGCCGCAGCAGCCGCCACAAAGTCACTGCCGACGTGACTCTCCTGCTTCAGCTTCCCATGCTTCTGGCCCGAAAACAGCCCCAAGCCATGCCCATGCGCATGCTCGTTTGAATGGTCACGCGCATGGGCCTTGCCATGCCCTGAGAACAGCCCCAAGCCATGCCCATGCACATGGTCATGGTCATGTGAGTGGGAATGTGAATGTGCAAGTGCATGCTCATTTGCATGGTGGTACGATGCAGGTGCAGGCGAATGGGCATGGTCATGTGATTGTTCCTGCCCGTGCTGCTGCCCGTGCTGCTGCCCGTGCTGCAGCCCATGCTCCTTGTGCTCCTTCCCCTTGATCAGATTCCCAATCCACCCCCCTGCGTTGAACCGTTTCCGTTTCTCCTCACTCGGCGTGTGCCCCTCTGCGTCCGACCCATAACCTGCAGGTGTGAGTGGGGACGGCAGGAGAGGAAGGTCTAACATGGAGTGCTGGTTGCTGCTGTTGTTGCTGCCCCCACCTTGGTACTCCTTTTGCTTATTCATGTGCTGCTGCTTCAATTGCTGCTGCTGCTGCTGCTGGTGTTCCTCCTCGTCCTCCTGATCCTGCTCCTGCTGCTGCTGCTCCTCCTGCTTGTGCTGCGACTGCAGGAACGTCTGGTGCTTGTACGTGGCATCACCGTGCCTATTGTAAACCATGCCGTCACCAGTGCCACCACCCCTACCACCCACACCGCCCTTGTCAGTGACACCAGTGCTCACACCCGCATCAGCCGCAGGTGCTGCTTCCCCTGCTACACCTGTAAATGGCACCCCAGTATATCCTCCTGCTCCTCCTGCTATCCCTCCTGCTCCTGCTGCTCCTCCCGCTCCTGCTGCCACTGCAACTGCAGCAGCCGCAATCTCTGCAGCAACTAGCTTGCCTGCCGCATCAGGTACAGCTGTCCCAGATACACCCTCCTCCTTTGCCTTACCCCCTTCCTCTTCTCTCCTCCCCTTCTCCCCTTCCTCCTTATCGCCCCCACTCTCCCCCTCTCCTCCCTCCCCTTTCTCACTCTCTGCAGTCATCTTCTCCCTCCACTCCCTCGCCTCCTTCCGCCTCGCCCGCTCCTTCTTCCTCCTCTCCTTCCTCTCCTCCTCCGTCTCCTCCTCCTCCTCATCGTCATCATCCAAGGGGATTGGGCAGTCCCCATCGGGATTCACGAGATACGCCTGGGGCCCGTCAGGATACCTGGGAGGGGGATGACACACGCAATAAAAAGAGGACAGGGTGAAAAAACTACTCTCCTTCCTCTCCTCCGTCTCCTCCTCTTCATCGTCATCAGCATCATCGTCCAAGGACCAAGGAAATTGGGCAGTCCCCATCAGGATTAACGAGGTATGCCTGCGGCCCATCGGGGTACCTGTGGGTTGGATTGACAAGGGAATCAGAAAGGGGAACGAATGAGAACGCAACATTCCTTCTTCCTCCTCTCCTTCCTCTCCTCCTCCGTCTCCTCCTCCTCATCGTCATCATCGAAAGAAATCGGGAAGTCACCATCGGGATTCACAAGATAAGCTTGGGGCCCGTTAGGGTACCTGTGGGGTTGCGAAATGCATCAGAAAGGAGAAAGAGAGAGAGAGAGACAATGCTCTTATTGTATCGACTAAAAAACGGGTATGCATGCGTGGGTGGGTTTACCCCAGGAAACCGAAAAATGCTTCACTTTTTTTTGTCAATGGCACACAGCAACATTGCTTCATATACACGGTATAGATCTCTACACCGCAATGCAACTCTTCACACCGCAACGCACCTCTTCACACCACCACGGACGACCCCACCACGCCTCGAACTCCACTCGTCAGCCCAGCAAGCGCCTCCCCCAGCATCACCCGCCCCTCCCACACGCTCACCTTGTTATAATGGCACTTCACACCGCAACGCACCTCCCCACACCCCAACGCACCTCCCCACAACCCGGCACACATCTCCATGCGGCAACGCACCTCTTCAAACCACAACGCACCTCTCTTCACACCCCTTCACACCGCAACGCACCTCTTCACACACGCCATCGACGAACCCACCACGCCTCGAACCCCACTCGTCAGCCCAGCAAGCGCCTCCCCAAGCATCACCCGCCCCTCCTCCGTCACCCGCCCCTCCCATCCATTTCCCAGCCCGCTCAGAGCCTTAGAGGAGGAGTGGGGCGTGATTGTAACCCCTGTGACTGTAGCGAGTGCCTGAGAGAAGGTGTTCAGAAGGCCTCGGGCTTGGGCCTTGGAGAGCGGATTGTATCCCAGCAGCACGAGGACCAGCTCTGGATTGTGCCTCTCAAACAGGACGAATATCCGACCGTATCCCTGAAAAGAAAAAGTGGGGGGTTAAGGGGGGGGAGGGGGGTAAGGGATAAAATAGGAGAGCGGGCTGTATCCCAGCAGCACGAGGATTAACCCCGGGTTGTGCCTCTCAAGGCGAATATCCGACCGCATTCCTGAGAATAAGTAGGGGGTTAAGGAGGGACGGGGGGATAAGGGATCAATAGGAAAGCAGGTTGTATCCCAGCAGCACGAGGACCAACCCCGGATTCTGCCTTTCAAACAAGACGAATATACGACCGTATCCCTGAGAATAAGTGGGGGTTAAGGGCAAGCGGGGGGGGGGGGGGGGGGGGGGTGGGGTTGGGGTGGTGGGTGGAAAGGAAAAGGACGAAGCGGGGGGGTAAGTAGGAAAAAGGGAGCGTGGGTCTTGGAGAGCGGGCAGCAGCAGAAGGAGCGTGCTTGGATGGTGCCGGAACAAGACAAAACCTCCCACTGTACCCTGGCTCGGAAGTGGGGAGTAAAGGAGTGAGACGAGGGGTGAGAAGAGGGGTCGAGAAGATGGGGGGAAGAAAGGGGAGGGGGAGGAGGGGGGGAAGGGAGAAAAGTGTTATTGAGTAGTCGATTACGTCCACCTGGGATATTAGTGGCGCAAAATAAGGAGCCCCTTAGCAGATGAACAATGTTCAACTCATGTCGTGCATGCCTACGTTGAGGCGTCTCAAAGACATACTATTTGCAAGAGAAGGGGGTGCGAAGCCTGGTCATCAAGGCTCCTTCCCTTCTTCTCCTCCCAATTCTCTCCCAAGCAAGCACCACCTTACCTTCCCTCCTCTACACCTTCCTGCTCCCATTTTTTAGTCGACTACAAAATTGGCCTGTTCATCAAGGCTCCTTCTCTTTTTCTCACCCCCGTTCTCTTCCCAGCTAGCACCAACTACCCTCCTCTACACCTTCCTGCGCCCGCTTCCATTCTCTTTCTTTCGTATTATTCAATGGAAGCACTCTACGCCCCCCCCCCCCCAAAAAAAAGGGCACAAACACAAAAGAAAACCTGACAGCAATCACGCCCTTTTTTTGTTGGACGCGAAAAGAGCGACACGAGCACATGGATGTATTGGCGACTGTTGAGTCGTCTCAAAAGACACGAGCACATGGATGTATTGACGACTTTTGAGTCGTCTCAAAAGACACGAGCACATGGATGCATTGACGGGCCAAAGAGAGGAAGCACGGACCAAACGCGTAATGACATGAGGGGCGTCACGTTGAACAAAACTCTTTTTACTCAATATGCACGGAGCTGTAATTCGTCCGACGGACTCCGTTTCCGGCACGTTTTGATTTTATTTTATCTCGGAGAGAACAAGAGAAGGGTTATCTCTTACACAGTCCTTGGTGGTTCCGAATGCTATCATTTTTAGCATTCGCAAGCAAGCGCTTATTCGCCTCCTATGCGTCATTAGGAATGGTCCAGCAGATAATTTCCAATATATTAAGTCTAACGGATACTCCCTAGGCTTCCTAGGCACTCCCTAGGTTCACAAACTTACAATGAAGTACTGGGCGAAATGAAGCGGCAAGTTCTCGAGAGCCTTCGGCAATGCATCGCGGATAGCGTCAGCATCCCTCCCGTATTCCGCCAGAATTCCCGCGCCATTAGCCGCTCCGATATAACCTACGAGCTCCTGCTCTTCCTGAGGCTCGCTCTCGTCCGGCTCTCCGTTTCCGCCTGCCGGCTTGTCCGGATCTTCCGGAGCCAATGGGCCTTCCACGTCATCGACGACATTTTTCGGTGCCTGACCGTTTTCTTGCGTCGAATGTATGACATTTTTCTGGGATTGATTGGCTTCTGAGATGTTCGGTTGTTGAACCTCCACCCCTCTCTCCATGGTGGAGGTATCACAACGGCACACGCATTTAGGAACAGAACATCGATAAATACGAGGCGACGAAACCCTAAACTATAAAACGAGGGTCACGACCGGGGTAAGAGGACGCAAGGAAGCCTTTGCGGATTACTCTTTACTTATGCAGTCTTCGATGGCGAAAGAACTCTTGGTGCCCCTTCGGGAATTGCGCGTTCCATGGAGTTATTCAACAAATGCCAAACATAGGTAGCGGTGGTGGTTGGGGGGAGGGTGGGAGAGAGGGGATTGAAGTTCGAAGCAGGAAGTGGAGACGCCGCTGCGACCATTGTGTGTTCAGTTACAGCAATGACATTTGAGACCGAGTTGTAACGACTTAGGGTTGAGAGAAGAACGGTACAAGAACTACATACGGTGAGCCATATCCTCGTCAACATCATCTTCTTCATCCTCATCACTGTCACTATCACTAGATAAGTCGATAGCATCTACAGGCTTGGGGTGTTCTACTTCCATGGCTGCAGCTTTCCCCTTCTTGCTGGGTTCTCCTGGGGTGGAAATGGGGGATTTGAAAACGGCTTCCTCTCAGGGCTGACGTTTCAAATTTAGGTACCCTGATTTCAACCTAAAAAAAAAAAAATTACCCTGAAGGCACATTTTTCAGAAAAACAGCACCCTGATTGCTCAGGGTTGAGAAGTAGTGAACTCTGAATGTTCAGGGTCGAGAATTGAAAATCAGGGTCGTAGTAACGCGCTCTTTCTTTACCGAGGACAGAAGTCTCACTCAATCAGAAGTCTCATTCTTTACCCTAATCGCAACATCTGCTCGAAATCTGACAGTCTACGGGGAATTCAAGCAGAATCTGCCTTGACCTAGCGCAAAAGGGATTTCCGTACGGAGCAGAGGTCGAATCTGCTGTTGGTGTCGCAAGGGTGACTGTGACTGGCGCTGTGACTGGCGGGCTGTGACTTGCGATGTGACTGGCAATGTGACTAGCACTGTAGTGATGTGACTGGCACTGTGGCGATGTGACTCGCTGTGTTAGAGCACATCTATTTCGACCAATAACAGCATCCTAAAATCTGACATTACAGATTCGCCCGATCTAGATGGTGGGTGTATGGGAACAAAACTTCGAAGAAACTTCGTCTCGATAAAGCGAGGGGGGGGGGGGGGGGGGGGGGAGGATTACGCACGTGGGGGGCACTGAAATCAATGCGAAGGGGTTATCAGGAGGAAATTTCCGAGAAACTTCGCCCCGATAACATCGCATTCAGGGTCCACAGGCCTCATACTCTGTATTGACAGGGTCCGTGAAAACCCTACACTGAGAGTGTACACAAAATTTCAGGGTCCGCTAAAGCAATACTCTGAATGGATCAGGGACCAAAATGTGAAAAACCTGATTTCTCATGGTCCAGAAAGTGACAAGTCTGAAATCACCCTGAAATCAGGGTAATTACCTTGATAAAATCAGCCCTGCTTCCTCTTCTTGTAGCTTCTCCAGATGTCCACCACCTCGTCAAACACCAACTCGTACGGCATCAGAGACAAGCACATCAAGTCGCCCAGTCTTGCATCCTTCAGCCCACCTCGAAGCCACGACTTGATGACGTTTTGGCGCGAGAAGCCCCTTTCGCACTCAACAGTGCTAAGGGAATCACCGCAACCGCCACCCACAGCTGCACGAGGTTGGGGTAGCTCTCGCACCAGTCTGGAGTCTTCAGGATCGCGGTGAGGCTCTCGTGGAACGTCCTCTCCCCCTGTGGTGCAGCAGCAAGGACAGAGCAAAACAACCGAAGCTCCTTCTATGCCTTTCGCTTGTTGATTCCTGAAAGGCGTAACCGTGGGTTTAGGAAGGGGCAAACAAGGCTGCACGAGTTAGTAGGCTGAGTGTGAACCGTGGCACCAGGGAATGGGCAAACGACAGTTACCAGAGGTAGAGCAACCGGGATGAACGATGGTTACTTTACCTGGCAGAATCTCCTCCGAATCTTGAGCCTTTGAACAGCGTCACCAGCGACAGCAACCACTCCACACATCGTGCATGTCGCTCCGGCTTGCCCTTCGGCCACTCATCAGGCATGAACAGCCTGACAACAGACAGCGAGTCCAGATCACCTAGCCTCCTCTCCAGGTTCGCCACGATGCGTTCAGCAAAGTCGGTGCAGAGGTCAATGCATCCGTCGTGATCCTCAGGGCCGTCACACCCGTCCACGGGGTTGTCGTGGAGCGTGAAGGTGATTTTCTCGGGTCGGCCGTCGGAGTCGACTCCCTCCACAGTCACGTCGCGCTTCTTTCCAGGACCGTAGCGCTCGATAAAGGGAGAGAGCCAGCGGCTCAAGTCACCGCCGAAGTCGTCCCCACAGTCGACGTAACGACTCTCCAGGTGTGAGTGTCAAAGTCCCAACCATTAGACCATTGGGATAAAAGGGTTTATTAAGTAGCGGGTCAGTGCGCCCATAACCCCCCAGGACAACGAGCTTGTAACCCTTCCCTAGGATCAATCGGGGATCACCAGTGGACCTCTGACACCCCCCCGCACTGGGATGCATGAAGTGCACGCATTGGGATTCGAATTCGAGACCTTTGCTCTGATTCCGTATCAGAATCCCAACCACTAACCACTGGGATAAAAGGGCTTGTTTGTGTAGCGGGTTTGTGCGCCCATAACCCCCCAGGCGAACGCGTCTGTAACCCCCATAGGATCAATCGGGCATCCACAGTGCAGATCTACAGACACCCCCCACACTGGGAGGCCCAGGAATGAGCACAGTGACAACGGCCTATATGTGCATACACCGGGATTCGAACCCGAGACCGCTCTGATACCATGTCAGAATCCCAGCCACTAGACCATTGGGATAAAAAGGCTTATTAAGTAGCGGTTCAGTGCGCCCATAACTCCCAAGGACAACGAGGCTGTAACCCTTCCCTATGATCAATCGGGGATCACCAGTGGACCTCTGACAGTGAGGCCGTGCGCTTGATCTGAGCATGAAGAGAGACGAGATCCAACTGCCAACGGGAGAAAGGGGAGGAACACAGTGTCAGTATGGTAGCTTCCGCGACAATGTAAAACATATTCAGTTAAACTGAATTACCTGGCGTTGCTGGAAGGACTTGTTCAGGAGGTTCAGCTGCTCAAGAACATCAGCCAGAAAGTACATGAAAAAATGAAACCTGTATGAGGTGGAAAGCAGATACATAGCGGAATGGTACTCCTTGAGGAAAATCACAAATGCAGGCCACACGGCAAGGATGCAAAGTATGGCTTCACCCCGAGACAGCCACCGAACTTGGTGTATGCCCTGGACTTCCAAGCTTGTCTCTGTGAAGAGCTGCTGGAGGTCCATGAACCGTTGGTGCTTCGGGGCAGAGCGTCCCAGAAGGTCAGCCGTCACGCAGACGAGGTCATCGACCATGTCAAAGAGTGGTAGAGCTTCGGCCGCCTCCTTAGCGGCAAGCGCCTCCCTGCGATGAAACATAATGGATGTATTAGAACTATGAACAAAGAATAAAGACGGATTGGGCAAGATGCAACAACACCCGCACCTGTGGGCGATGCAGTGACACGAGACGAGGTGTGGGACCCTCTCTCGTAGGCGGACCACCAGTCCAGCTCGACTCCCCATCATCACCCCAGCGCCGTCGGTGCTGATGCCCGAAATCCTCTGCACCTCGATACCAACTGCCTGCAAGTGAGAGAGCAGCAGACTCAACAGGGTGGATGCGTTAGCTTTCTCAACAGTGATCAGTTGCATAAACCCGACACGAGTTTGTTGTCGCGGATGAATGTGGCGTAAAATATCATGTGCTTGCCCCTACATCGATTGGTGCTTTCGTCGAGGCTGATGCCAATGAACGGGCTTCCGAGGATGTGCTCCAGTTGAGTCGTTTGTAGCCAAGTTGCCATTGATTGCACGAGTTCGCCATAGCCGTACCTGCCATTAAAAAACAGCATGGTATTAGCAAAACCGAGCAT